GTTGGGGTGGAGTATGGGGGTGGGTTGGTAGGGGTTGGTGGGGTTGAAAAATAGGGTGGAAAATGTTGAAAAAGAATTTTGAAAAATATTTTTCCTTCTCTTGATAGGGAAAATAATTTTCTCCAATTGGAGAAAAATGAGTTCATAAGAAAAATATTTTCTAAAATTAAGCCAACCAAATATGAAAAAATTAAAAATATTTTCCTTCGTACCAAACATACCTTTTCTATTAGAATTTTTTCTTAGTTCTAGACTTAACCTCAAGATTTTGATTAAGAGTAATATTTTTATTTATCTCATCATAATCTTTACTAGTCTTTTGTTGTTGTCTTGATTCTTCATCATCAATGTTTTAAAAGGTATTTTTGGGTAAGGCCCGAGGTGAGTCTCGAGGCGAAACGTACCAAAAACGCATTGAGGCGTACCAAAAATATATCGAGGCATACTGGCAGCGCGTACGTATTGTGGAGCCTAAACCCCAACCTTCCGTCCGTTCATCTAAGCGTGAGTCCCAACGTACTAGTCGTCATTTGGGCATAAGCCTACCTTTTCAAAATTGAGGCTAAATTGATTAATAAATCTTTTTTTATAATTCCTAAATATCCAAACATTTACTCGTAGTAACTTCTCAAGCTAAAAGTGTCAGAAGTCAAATATTTTCTCTAAAGTTTATCCTAATTTCATAATCTTTTCTCTTTGTCGTTTACTGAGTTTTGTCTACAAAATGCAAACTACACAACAAAGAGTTTTATCCTCCATTTCTTGTTCTGCTTCAAAGCTTGCAGTTTTCTTTTCTATGCTTTATTTTCTTCAAATTCTTTTTTGCAGTCTTTAATATATTATTTTTAAGTTAGTTTTTGGTTCTAGATTTTCTTTTGGTATCACTCTGATTTAGATATTATTTTGAAGACTCTATTCTGGCTATTTGTATTATAATGAGTATTTGTGATTTGTTACCTAATTTTAAGTTTTTAAATAATAATTTTATATTATTATTTTTATTATTTAAAATATTAGGAACTAAAATATTATTTTTAATTCAAAGTATGTTCCATCATAGTTATGTTATAGGTGTAATGCATCTTTATATCTTTCACTTTTTAAATTTAAATAAATATTTTTTTGTATGGTTCCTACATTTATTAGCATATTTCTAATAAATATTATATATTTCCTAGTAAATTTATAATTTTCTTGAGTTTTCTATAATTTTAAAATATATAGTTTTTTATTTTATTTTATTAATTTATAAAATATTTAAAAATTAAATATCATAGAATCTATGCCCAGCGCCTCAAGCTTACACCTCACCTCACGCTTCATCGTCACTTTCTTTTCCCTTGGTCAAGAATGTCCCCCCTAACCATGTAAATGTAATCCTTGACATGGACCCCACTTACCCACTACCACCCACCCTCCTCTTTACGTATTCTCCATCAAATTATCTGTAAATATAGTTTCTCTCTCTCTAGCTTTTACATTACATAGTACATACATACATGTATCTATCTTTTAGCACCTTCTTCAACTTCTTCTTCAAAAGGGTAGATTCCCCAAAAGATTAGGCTTTAACACCCTTTTGGTTTTTACTTTTTAATTTTTCAGAGCTTAGGAGCTTGAAAAGGTTGAGGCCAATTTTTAACCATCTTTTTACCCTCCCCACCCATTTAACTAAAGATTCATCTTCTCACCTTTGCTTGTCCACAGATATTCAACCCTTTTCTCTCTTTTTTCTTTTTTAGTGTTTTGTATCAAAGTAAAAAACTTTTTTCTTCCTTTTTACTCTTTTCTTGTCATTTCTAAAGAAAGACCCCCTTTTTTTTTTTAACATTAATTTATCTCTCTGTGTGTGTACATGTGTTTTGGTTGAAAGTTGAAACTGTCTCAAAGCAAGTTGGGAACTTAGGATTAGCTTTGTTTTAGTTTGACTCTGAAACTTTGGAACACTTCAACCTTCAAAACTGTTGATTCCCATTTAAAGCTGCCAACTTTGTTTTACTTTCTCCCTCTCTCTCTCTCTAACATGTATTTGTCAGCCTTTTGGATTTGTTTGGGTTGAAAACTTTGTGCTTTGGACTATTGAAATTTCAGATGTCAAAGCTTTGATCAGCAGGAGCAATTGAATCTTTCCAAATTGAGGGCTTTTGTGATTTTGCTGAGAAGGGCAAATCTTGGTTTGAGTTAAGAGGTTTTTATTTACCAGATGAATGTTAGTATCAAGAAATTGTAAGTAGTGATAAGCAATTGAGTGTAAAGAAAGATTGAATCTTTTGGTGGGTGAGAGAAATGGAGAAAAATGAGGGAGAGGATTGGAGGGAGATGGTGAGGAGAATGCTTCCACCAGGAGTTGATGGGGCTAATATGGAATACTCAATAGCAAGTGAGTATACTGGTCCTCTATTGTCATATGAGGTTCCTAAAGTAGAGCCCCTTGATGTCAATTCTGGTGCAATTCCAACAGCATCACCTCTTTCAGAATCAAGAAGAAGATCAGTGAGTCGTGANTTCCTTTGAAGCCAGATGAGATGGCAGAACTCTTTGGCTGCCCTTTACCTCCTCACAAGTTGAAGCCTGGGAGGTATTGGTATGATAAGGAATCTGGACTATGGGGAAAGGTAAAACAAACAATCACATTCTTTTTTATTTATTCCTTATGTCAGAAGGAAGAATCCTAATATAGTTTTTGACTTAATTAAACAGGAAGGAGAAAAACCAGACAGAATTGTTAGTTCAAACCTAAATTTTACGGGAAAACTTAGTGCTCATGCCAGCAGTGGAAATACTCAGGTTTACATTAATGGCCGAGAGATTACAAAACGTGAACTCAGAGTGCTCAAGGTTTGTCCTTTTTTGTTTTTCCAACTAAATAGCGCATATGTCAGAACAAATATGTAAGGCAATAGATTTAACCCTAGATCCGTTGTTATTCACATTTCCTATCACTAGCCTGTCTTTATGTGGTCATGACAGCTTGTATGTTTGATTGTGGTGAAGGATACGTCTCATTCTTTGGTGTAATATTGAGTTTCTATAACTTTTGTGCATTATTCCACCCAGCATTGAGGCTGGATTAATTTTTACTTCCATATTTATGTTCCAATTATGTGTTTTGTCCCCTCCTCTTAATCTGTCTAACTATTAGGGAATTTGACTGATGGTAGATATTAATAACGTCCGTCCATGTAATCATTTATAGGTCTTAGATTCTTTATTGTTCATTTGTTCATGAAATGAGGTTTCCTAGCTGACAGTGGTGAGTCATACCTCCCTATTCTTCTCTTAAATTTGTCGCACATGGAGATGCCTTAAATTTTACAGCTTTCGTTTATTCAATGCATATATTTTTCTCAATCTATTGTTGCTACAATCATTTCTTTCTGCTTTGCCCACTTATATAGGAAGTAAATAATGTACGTCCAATAAATCATTTATAGCTCTGAGTGTCTTGTCTTTCAGCTTAGATGATTGTGAAAAGAAAGACTTTTGCCTTATATTAGTAGATTATAACTGTTGTCGTTTTCTAGAGCCAGGGTATTAATTAACTTAGAAAGCCTCAAACTTGTATTTTGCTTTTAACTATCCGAGCTAGTTATTTGACTGATTGTCATTCTACGAAGCTGGATCTATACAGATTTCCATGTACTTTCTCACAAAAGGAAACAAAATGGATTTGCCTTTAACCTTTTTTCAAGCACTTCTATTATTCCCTTGAACTTCTTTTTTCTCTAAAATAATAGAATCTCAAATATCCCGGTGAATCATGTTGAAAGTCTGGAAATTTACAAAATGAATCTTTCCTTGTCAATCACAGCAACACAATCGATCATCTCGATTTTTCGTTACTGCATAGAGAACTTAGGTGGTTCAGAAATTACAGTTAGGCTTGGTTCAAAATGATCCAGCATCTAAAGAAAAGTCTGAAGTATCTGAAGAGAAGATTTAAAGTATTTATGAGTTTTGCCATTGTGGTAAACCAAAGCCTCCCTCTCTCTTAAATAACTTAATGATCCAGAATCTAACGAAAATATCTCCACAGTAGTTGCTAATTCGCAGAACAGCTCCACGCACCACATCTGTAAAAAGCCAATGGATTAACCTAAGTACCATTATTCGCAGCCTGTTTGAAACAGCCACCTATTGAGAAGGAAAAGGTGTAACCACCTATTTCTGCTCTGTGACAGCATCTTTTCTTCTTTCACATAGGGAAACTTGAATGAAAATAGGCATCAGCAAAAATTGATGCCCTCAATCTAGTCATAATCTTCCATGTTCTTAAAAGCCTAATCCATACTAACTCAAATCAACTGACCATATAACACCAGCTCCTGGTAAAGGGCTACAGTTTCAAGGGTATTTTCTTGTCATGAAAAAGAAAGAAGTCCTTAACAAATCCCACAAATATCTAAAGCCTTTACCCCATGATCGCTAGTTTGATAAGAATCACGGGGGCAACAGAAGTTTAAGAAGTTTCATCCCCTGAACATCTAAATCCTTTACCATGTGATCGCCTAGTTCGATAAGAATCACAAGGGAAACAGAAGTTTTAGAAGTCTCATGTTTGACGGTTGGAAAAAGAAAAAAAAAATCAAATATTCTTTTTCTTTTTCAACAGGATATAGGTAAAAGAGAGAAGAAAAGGAAACAACTTATTTTGCATCGACTTGTGTATGTCTATACCTTAATGAGGTTTTGATAGATTCTAAAGAGAAATATTACTTCCATATTTAAAACAGTGACAACAGTATCGAGAAATTGACCCTAAAAAGCAAAATCTGTATGTGAAGTTGATGTGTCTATTTGGAATTAGTTTAAGGACTTATCTGTAATATCGTTGTTGCTTGACAGTAGGTAACGAACAGAAAAGATGTTGGTTTGTCCAGGTAGTGAGCAGAATCTTTTGACAAGAATTCTTACAAAGTTAAGATGAAATATCACCATCAATTTAGTAGCAGAGATGATATCATTTGCTTGACAACTAGTACATACATTGTAATAGCATTCAGCTTAAGGGCCTTGGATTCACCTTTCTGTAAAAAGATTATCTTCTTAGAATCATAGAATGAAACTCCTTTTATTTACAATGAGTCCTGACATTGGTTTCATTTCAGTTTGCAAATGTGCAATGCCCTCGTGACACTCACTTTTGGGTATATGATGATGGTCGTTATGAGGAAGAAGGACAAAACAATATTCGGGGCAACATCTGGGAAAAGGTAGCAACATAGGGTACAGTTTCGACGATGTTAGTCGGCAAAGTTTTTGCTTTAATATCTTTTATTTATATTGACATGCAGGCATCAACACGGTTTGTTTGCTCTCTGTTTTCATTGCCTGTACTGCATGGTCAGCCCTATGGACAGAGAGACGAGCCTAGCAATTATACTACTGTTCCAAATTACTTAGAGCAGAAAAGGGTTCAAAAGCTACTTTTGCTTGGGCTTGAAGGTTCTGGAACAAGCACTATTTTCAAACAGGTATTAGCTTTGCAGCACTTCCTTTTTCAGGAAAAGGGGTTCCATTTTTCTTGATTAATTTTTGAACTAGTTAAATCCAAGCTTCTATATATAGGTCTGATCTCTATGACATTTTTCCTTAGAGGTTTTATCTTCTCTCTGCATAATGTAACTGTTTTCAAATATCTGCAGTATAGCTTGTTCAGTTGCCTGTTGATTTATTCATCTGTTCTATGGACTTGAATCTGCTAGCATCCACGTATTTTATTTTGCTGCCAGAAAATTTTCTAGCATCATATTGCAGCTCAGTTCCCAAATCAATTTGAGGCTTGGTGATTGATTGATTGATTGATATATTGCAGCTGAGTTATCTTCTGTGCTGTAAGGCACTGCTTATGACTTAAATTAGATGACTGAGTATAACAACAAGAAACCTCAGTGTCCTATCATATTCTGGTTAAAGGTCACCATTGATTAGTCATCATAAACGAGGTACAGATGGGGCCATTTGGTAGTCATAACGTTAAATGGGGTACATTGAAATATGAGGATTGACAAGAGAGAGATAGCCAGTGGTAAGGGCTCTCCACCTCCAATCATAAGATTGGGGGTTTGAATCACCAATAGAGCCAAGTGGGAAAAACCATCGCTCGTTTCCTGGATAAGGGGTTTCTGGGGGAGGGGCAGGGTTTACCAGATAAAAAAGATTTGTAATATCTGGATTTAATAATATGTGGATTATGAGCTAGATTTCTACTTAGTCATGTGTTTGGTTGATTGTATTAGAACATGGTGAACTATAATACAATGCTATAATTGGAGTGCTATCCGCATTTTCCATGACGGTTTTCTTGGACATGAATCCTTCACAATAAGGGAAGAAACTTTGTCTTGTGGAGCACTGCACAGTGGATTAGCAATGTCTTCTCTGTTGTTAAATATTAAAAATACAGTGTCACCCATGGTATTGAAGAATATGGTGTATGATGCATCGATAATATATTCTGTTCTTTTATTCTGAACGCGTATTGAGTACCAGATGCTCGAATGTTGAGTACATCTCTGGAACCCTCCCTAATATATGTTCAAAATCGCCAGAAAATTTTTCCTTTAATGCTTGATTAGTAAAACACTCTTGTGGCAAGAAACTAAGGCTCAAAATGAATGGGTGAATTCCTTCATTTATTGTGAAAAATGTGGCTGAAAGTCCCGAGATTGGATCCTCTTCCTCCCCTTATGGAAAGAAAGTATTCAGTGCATGGTTTAATTGTTGTAGTTACTAGTAAAGGGGAAAAGGAAAGAAATACAAATGGTGTGGTTTAAAATTTCTTATCTGAAGAAGAATGCTAGTAAGCTATTCCGGCCAATCACTGGATTTTGTTTACTATAATGATCTGATTAACCATTGGGTTTTTCTTTTTTTGGG